AAAGAATGAAATGAAATGAAAAAAGAAAGAAAGAAAGAAAGAAAGAAAGAAAGAAAGAAAGAAAGAAAGAAAACATATTTATCCCATTTTAATATAGTAAAATATTTTCAATGTTATTAAAAGCAATGTTCCATAGGTTTACCAGGATAAAACATTGAAGTTCGATATTCTAGATATTACATTCATGTTAATTTCATCAACTACTACTGCTCTGACTAAAGCAGGATATTAAAAATACATTAATCTATTTAGATTAAACCTTCTAACAGTAAAACATGTACAGAAGTATATTATTTTCTGCTTGATCATGTTAACAATACTCTTAGACTCAATCAGTGTCCCACTATTGTTACACTTCCTATAAAAATGTGGAACAATTATATAAAGTTTTGCCATCATGCTTAGTATACTAATGTATTTGTCTTATATTATTAAGAATTGAGTTAATCAAGATTTCAAACTTAAATTTACTAAAAAAATTAAGTAAAAAATTTACTTAAAATTTATTACCCAAAAAATTTACACAAGAACCCTTATTTTTAAGCCTTAGAAGTCACTCCCAGTCATGGATTAAAATTATTCAAATAATATGTGAATCTTTATATTCTACTTACTGTTTGTGGATTTAGTTCTTCTTCTCCCATAGGCTCATCTATAATTTGTTGGCCATTCTGCAAAAATCATAATTTAAAAAAGAGTTATTGGAGGAACTTTTTTATTAGAGCAACTGAAGTACAGGTAATCCTGACTTAGCGACCACAATTGGTTCCAGCGATTTGGTTGTTAAGCAAAGCAGTCACTAAGTGAAAATCACGTGACTTACAATTTTGCTTTTCAGCTTTCCTTTGCTTTACAGCATCAGAAGGATACGACCCCAAACAGCGAGGTGAGCCCAAATCAGTGGGGAAGGTTTCTGGAACTCAACTCATGAGGAAGCTGGGTAAAAGGGCAAATCTTATAGCCCTTTTTCCCTACTCCCCTACCCTTGGGAATGCTCACCCCAGTGTTGGAATAATCAGCAAGAAGAGAATTGATGTTTGAATTTACATTCATTGGAGAGGAAGGGATTACAAGAGAGTAAGCAGGCACACAATGGGGTATAAACATCAAAGGAAGGCGCTATTGCTAGCCAGCAGTTTAGGAGGGAAACAAAAGCCTTTAGTGTGAAATTGATTAAGGTCTTGTCAGTGTCAGGCAGCAGTGAGCCAATCACAGGGTTCTAATCAACTAATTAAGGTTACAGAACTGAGCTTGTTAACTTGCAGTTAGCACTTTTTAGGGACACATTGCACTGTGGAAAAAGAGATAGCTTGTTTAGGCAATCTCTCCGCTCTGCGAGGTGGGGAAGAAAAAAATGGGTCAGGGATAGGACAATGCATACTGACTATAATGGCAAACATATGACTGAGAGAGAGAGAGATGCTAAGGAGGTCATAAATGTGAGCACTGGTCACAAAGTTACTTTTTCATCACCATCGCAACTATGAAAGGTTGCTGCCCAAGGCAGTTGCTGAATGAGGACTACTTGTATAAATAATTATATTAATCTTTCTAAGATTTAACCAAAGCCAATAAAAGACAGTTACAACTGTCTTGGAGGACAATAATTATGAAAAAAAAAAAAGTAAAACTACTTTTAGAGAAGCTAAGCAATTGCAAGTCTTGCTTCCTCCCAATGGTTTGAAATGCTGGTAGCTCAAGTACTGTAAGTGGCACATGCAAACACTAAAAAGGACAATAATACATGTTTAAGAATAATTCCCTGAACAGAGAATGGCAGATTAACATGTAATATAAATAAATTAAAAAGAATAGTTATATTAGTGTACAATAAGGGAAAACAGGATTATAGTTTTACAATGTTTGTTCACTTGATAAATTAAAACCTGTTCCCTAAAGAATGTTTAATCAACTAGGCAGCAATTATTTAAAAAATATTTTAAAAGCAGCCCTTATAAAATGGTTTAAACAGTATGGAAAGATTCAAATAAAGTATATTTATTTTTTCTCGCTGTATACAACACATGTATACAGTGAGAAAAAATGAATATACTTTATTCTGGAACAACTATTTTTACCAATATTTAAACTGTAATAAATTTTTTGTCAACCAGATACCAGTAAAAGAGTGCTTATTCTACAGTGGTGCTTAACCATTGCATGAAACATATCTGTTTGGGTTCCAGCCTCTAGAGCAGCAACAAAAAAGAGATTTTTATATCATAGTCCCTTGAATATTTCAAGATGACAGTATATCACACTACAAATTCATATTAAGTTTAACTTTTATTAAAAACCAAACATGCTGCATATAAGCATGTTATATGTAAATGTCTTCAAATAAGCAAGTGGATGTGGTTTGGAAGGTATTTATTCAACACAATTATTCAACACACTAAGAGATGAGTTTTAGATGAAAGCAAAAATGTGTCTAGGGTCTATGCTGAAAAAACTTCACTGATGGCCCATGTTGTTGCCAACACAAAATGTAGTAGAGTTCTCTGGCACATAAGATATGGGTCTGCCCTATTTTGCAGCCTTTTGGTCACAGATTTGAGTGCACCTTAAACTTATGTCAACATACATGGCATTTCTAAATCACATACTTCGGCTTCTGAACTACATTCCTGCAATTGGTTAGCATTCTAATTTTGCTAGTCCAATGCCAACCAATTGCAATCCAATCTGGATTTCTGTGTGCTGGGAAAGGTGCAAAGAAAGAGAAAAAGAAAATGACCAGCAACAAGAAGGATGGACTCAATTACAGTCACAATGGGGGCACTGTTGAAAGTTCTGAAGGACCAGGCTGAGGACAGATTGTCCGGGAGAAAATCTATGTGGTCGCTAAGAGTCGACACTGACTTAATAGCATATAATCAGTCACGTAGCTGGAATAAAACCAGTGTCCATCCTAGAGGAGATTTGAGTGATTCTGGGTGATCAAACTTAATTTCAAAAGACTTAATCACCAGACACATTTCTGAAAATTTGATTAAGATACATAGAAACTATACCTATAATCTGGACTGAGAAATCTGAATTTGTAAATACTATATAAAGATTTAATTATGTGCTTCATTCAACAGTATAATTTCATCTGATTTTATTATTTTCTCTTTTGTACCTTGCCCACCAGTTCTTTTCTTTCTCCTTTTATTTAGTTACTGATACATTTTAATAACTATTGTGAAAAATTTGTCATCAATAAACATGGAGGAGCTGCACTCTCCACAGTGAGATTTTTATATATATAAATATTTAAAATATATAGTAATCATGTAGTAATCTATAGTGAAAAAAAACTAAAATGGTTTTTCACTAACACATTAATGAGGTAAAACAGAAAACAGTTTAATATAAAATTAAATGAAATATGAGTAGTAAACAGAACAGAAATAAATTAAAACCTAATTATATAAATTTAAATAAGGCAGATGCTCACAATATATTATCATTACCAGAAAAAAAGAAAAAAAGAAAAAGAACTGTCCAAGCATCTAACCTACAGCTTCTCCTCAAGACTATACTTTGATTTATCAAGACAGACTATCTAAACTTAGCCAAAACTTTATTTTGGATAAACTATTCTGAATAAAGAGCATAAACTGCTTCTTGAAACATATGAACTGTGAGAAAAATGTGGAAACAGATGATCACCAGTTCCTCTGCTGGTGTCTTCCTTACAACGGAAGCAGGATGTACAGACTTTCCTTTTAAAAAAGAAGAAAAAAAAACCCTAGCCCTTGCTGCAAACTTCCTTCTCCCTTCTTAAGACTATGTGTGGAGGAAGTTAAGCATCTGGGCAAAATGAGAGGAAATGGAGGAGGAATGATGTGAAAGTAACCAGACACCACCAAAGGGAACAAAAGCAGCAGGAGTCCTTCAACTGTGCATTACCAAGGCTGACAATCTGGCAGCCCCACCCCCACCCCGGATACTATTACCTTCAGGAAGACAAAACGAGGAAGATATGTTTACACTGTCTATAGCTCTGCTTTAGCAAATTCATATATAACAACCACTGAAAAATGCACATAGAAAGCCATTTGTGGCATTAAAGGTGGGAGCTAACATCTCTTCCCATAAACTGTGACAACTACAAAGAAAAGAGATGCTTTCCCCACGATCTCTATAAAAGAGACACATTACAAATTTCTATATAAAAAGGCCCCTTTATCATGAAATAGAAGATAGACTAATTCTCATTGCCGTGGAAAACAGGGAAATGTCAAATAATCAAAAAGTATGTTATTAATAGATGAAGATGAGCATGTGTGCATGTGAAGGCAGAATGGAAACAAAAGCCAAACAATCCAAATCATACTTTGTAACACAAAAGTGTTACGTTTTTTTGGTTTTGCCATATTCCATCATTTAGAAGGAACAGCATTCTATAGACCTACACACAAAAAAGTGTGATTTGGAAAACCACCCCATGCTCCACTTGTTTGCAATGGATAGCAACGGAGATCTGTGTAAAAGCATGGTAGGGTAAACACTTCCAAAGGAACAACTATGTTAGTTTGCTGCAAGGAAGAAAACCAAAAGTGTGCGTTATATTTTAAAGGGAAACTAATAAATGTAATACAGAACAAAGCTTTTGTGAAGGTCATTTCAGGCAACGCATAAAGTTTTATCCGAGCAGTTCGCTGTACATGTACCCTAGGGTTATAGGAAGGGGGACTCGTAAGCAAACTGGTAAGAATCCAACAACTAATTTTGTCAGTCAGTGAAATGGGGGAAGTAAAGATAGACAAAGCTGTGGTCACAAAATAGACCGAAAAATGGGTATGAGGTGGACCCCAATCTCGATGTCAACCAGTTTCGCTGGATAAATGGCTTCCATTATCCTTCACCACGCTGGTTGGGAGTAATAAGATTTGTAGCCCAACACACTTCGAGTGCACAGGATTAGGGGAGCCCGAGCCGAAGCGGCAAGGCAAGCAGGAAGCCTTTACTTCCGCGCTTCCGCCCAGCGCATCTAAAAGAAATAAAATGAGGAAATGGAGCGCGCCTGACTCCCTCCAACCCTCTCAATGAAAGACGGAGGAAGAGGCGGCAACGGGGCAGTGACGCTCCTCCGCTGGGGAGGTGAGCGATCTTTTCTTCCTCTTTCTCCCACCCTTCCTCCTG